TTTTTTTGTAAATCCGGACATCCGGACCTGATCATCTGTAACCGGACCGTCCGGGTCCGGTTGTCCGGTTGTCCGGATCGGCGTCCGGAGTACCGGACGTCCGAATTAATCCAGACATAGGTCCGGGCCCGGTGTCCGGTGTTTGGATGTCCGGGTCCGGGGCAACCATGCTATAAATGCATCCAGGGCAAACATGGTGCTGATTCATTCCAAATGTTGGAACAGTCCAGAAGTGGATCAAGCCCCTTGGCTGCATTTTCAGTATGAATGCATGTGTCGACTTTCCTGTCCCGAACAGATGAAATGCTGTTTTCTGGAGTGACGCCCCCCACTGCCCCAATTTTGTTTCCCGGTGGACTTTCAGTCCAAATGCATGTGGCCAATTCACTGCTCCGGAAACATGTATTGTGTAATGGATCAAGGCTCCCGACTGCCTCGATCTCGTTTCTCTTATTCTTTTCACGTTTTCAGGTGTCATCTCTTTCGCTGCTTGTGTGGATTTTCTTACTCGTAGTGGCAGTGTTCGGCCTCACGGCTGTTTATCAACAGTTGATGCGAGTATTCCAGTTCATTTGTGAAGCAATACTTGGAGGAGGAATAGGACGTGTAAAGCCGTGGGCGTAGCTGCGGCAAGCACCCGCTTGTATATTATAATCCATAAAAGGATGGATGGCAAAAGGCAACACACTTAACAAACGGCAATCACACATAACACAAAAAAATGAACTGCACCAAACCCAAAAGGCTCCACTAGCAAAAAAGCACTGACCATGCCCACAATCGTAAATCAAACAAACACCGCAGGACCTCTCCACAACCTCAAGAGTGCCATGAACCTCCCCCAGCCGTGCAATCTGCAGAATTATGGGAAGACAACTACAACTCCAGCCCACTCCTCAGAATTATATTCAAATGTCTCATAGTGCAACAGTGAGGCCGCTGTGTGAACTATACCAAACACCACAAGATCTCCACGCGACACCAGGAGTGCCACTGCTTAAAACACCCTAGAAGCCTCAATTTCTTCCATGTGCTTCAAAAGAGCAGCCCGTGGGAATGACACCCACAACAAACACTCCCTGAGACTCCTCAAGAAGATACCATGGCCAAAACTCCAAACATACAATCCCACCCCAAGAAAACCTTTGTGGGCACCCACAGACATTCCTACATCAAAAAGACAGCCCATGCTCTAAAGCAGGACAAAGAATCAGGCCATGTGTAAATAAACAGACAACCAACGAAACATATCAAGTTCCAAAATGTGTGTGTGTGTGTGTGTGTGTGTGTGTAGCGGTGAGAGAGAGAGAGAGAGAGGGAGAGAGAGAGAGAGAGAGAGAGAGAGAGAGAGAGAGAGAGAGAGAGAGAGAGCAATGCATTGACTCTTTTAGGCGCTGAGCGGGACATGGAGGGAGTCTGCTTGTGGCTTACCTGGCTGATGATGAATTTCAATTTGCCACCCTGCATAAGATCTACAAGCGCCATATGAGTGAGGCTTGGTTGAGCCAGATAAAACGGGACCTGGGCCTCTGGAATCGGCAACCCCTGATGCTGCATTAACATGAGCTAAGAAAATTCAGCAAGGTGATATCAAAATAAGAATACCCAGCTCAGGTCAATGAAAGATGAACAAATGGAACTGCTGATGAACAGATCATGAGTTTGAATCCTGATGGACTCATGAGATAGCAAGTGTTAGAAAAAGAAAAAGACGACCGAAATAAGATCCATGGAGTTGTCATTCTCTTCTCACTTTCCGATTGTAGCAGTAGCACTGTAGCATTCAATAGACACGGCGGAGGCTCAAATTCTGCTATAGACATATGTTATGCACCCGATTGAACTTCAATCCACAACGAATTCACACGTTCCCATACACGCATGCAATTGCAGAGTAGACTTGGAGGAGGCAAATTGACACAAAACCGGAGAGAAGATATGCACAGCGGAAGCTCAAAATACACAGAGAATTGAAAAACGAATTTCAATTCTGCAATCCCTTGTCCTCCTCCAA